CGCAAGCAGGTACTTATTAGATTACATACTAAATGATTTTATGTGGCTTGTTTTTCAGCGCAAGCAGGTACTTATTAGATTACATACTAAATGATTTTATGTGGCTTGTTTTTCAGTGCAAGCAGGTACTTATTAGATTACATACTAAATGATTTTATGTGGCTTGTTTTTCAGCGCAAGCAGGTACTTATTAGATTACATACTAAATGATTTTATGTGGCTTGTTTTTCAGCGCAAGCATTACATGAAAACAGTCGTGAAACAGTCGTAAAAGATGTGTATTTTCAAAACAACCTATTATATTCCAGGGTATTTTTTAATGATCTGAAAACACTAAACAGTTATATGCTACTTTTTGTTTAATGTTACATTCATTACAAATGTTTGTTAGAATGTTTAATGTATCTATTTCTGTTATTATATATATATTATTATTACATGAATTGCTTTGCACTGTTGGCTTAATATATGGATTTAGGGCTGGCCTAACTCTCCCAAAGAAGCCAGTCTCATCAGATGTTATTGGGATTATGGTCAAAAATATGACTAAGAGCAAAGATACCCAAATGTTTAAAAAATACATTCTAAAAACTATAAGAAATAATGTAAGAACAGCATATGGAATTAGGCAAGTTCATTATTGAGTTGATTTTTTAGGTTCTGGTCTATGTAGGGGACTTGCAGTGGTCGGAAGTTTGTTAATTAACTCCTCTAGATACAGGGTACATCTTAAAAACTTCAAAACACTAAACATTAGTTCTTCCACACACTAGGGTACATCTTAAAAACTTCAAAACACTAAACCTCAGTTCTTCCAGACACGAGGGTACATCTTAAAAACTTCAAAACACTAAACATTAGTTCTTCCAGACACTAGGGTACATCTTAAAAACTTCAAAACACTAAACATTAGTTCCAAGATCTAGATATTAGGGTATATCTTAAGCATTTTATATGTAAAGCCTAAAATTCTTTGATGGTTCTTCAATTTGATGCAATAAATGTAATTTTGTTATAGGTATATTAAATGAAGATAGCTTTGATATACAGAAACATCTGTTAGCTGAGTTCTCACACAGAACTTTATGTTTTAAGATCTGTGCAAGAACTCAGCTAACAGATGTTTCTGTATATCAAAGCTATCTTCAAGTTGTGCACAACAAAAAACCTTTTCAAGTATATTAAATGCTAAAACAACAAAATTAATTTATTTAAGACCCAACTTGAGATCATTTGTAGACTTTTTATTTAAAGACATGTTATTAAAAAATAATAATATAATACTTTTAGCACTTAACTTAGCTTATACTGAAAGGGTTCTATCTATTACACCCTAAAAATATGTAATTAAACTGTCAGATATTATCATCAAATCGACACTAACTAAAATTAATGTTGCATACGTGAAAGTTTAAAAACACAAACAACTAAATATTCTTTATGTACAGCTACATACCGAAAGTTGCAATTTTCCTACATTGAAAATGTATTTCCAATAGGTACTTACCTCCTCTTACATAAATAGCTATTCTTGTTCAGTGCTGCCCTCTATATGCAAAACAATTTTACACATGTCACAAGCCTTTTATCTCCCTTCCATGGGAATTGACTTATTCCAATGTATCTCTCATGTAAATCATCATGCGTCAACCCTCCATCAAGAAGAGTACAACATATTCTCATGAAACATGTGGCTCCCTCTATTCAATTCTACCAAACTATCACTTCGAGTTTTTGCAGAAGATGGAAGCACCAGTTTTCAGTGGGGAGGAAGGGTGGGAAGTGTGATGGAAATACATTTTCAGTGTAGGAAAATTATAATTTCCGATATGGTACCTTACCCCCTCTCACATGAATGGCTAGTATCCCACATTGAATAGGTGGAGGGACATTCAAAACCCATGTCGTTGGGAACTGACATCCATGAGGGGATAAGATAAGGATCATACCATTGGTAAGTCACCCTCTTGTGGATGTCGGTACACAATGGCCAGGTTTTGGATTGTAGTTTTCCAGGTTTTGGATTGTAGTTTTGTAGTTAACTTACTGATAGTATGATTCTAATCCTCCCACTGGGTATTGACATCCACAAGAGGGTAGGATTAGAATCATACTATCAGTAAGTTAACTACAAAACTACAATCCAAAACCCAGCCACTGGGTATTGACATCTGTGTGGGGGTATAAAAGAGGATCATACCACCAGCATAAAGCAGCACCCTATAAAAGGCAGCACTGAACAAGAATAGCTATTTATGTAAGAGGAGATAATGAACCATATTGGAAACAATGTAAAGCAAGATCTTGGGTAGCAGCACAAATACATTTAATGAAATACACATGCATAAAAATGCATAAAGTCTAACAGCTCATATTTTTTTAATATATTTAATGTATGTTTTATCAACAGGATACCTGCGTTTTAGTAAGGTGTTCATGAACAGGTACCTACCTTTTAGTAAGGTCTTTACTGTTCATGAACAGGATACCTAGTTTTTAGTAAGTTGTTCGTGAACAGGATACCTACCTTTTGATAAGGTATTTACTGTTCATGAACAGAATACCTACCTTTTAGTAAGGTGTTAATGAACAGGATACCTACCTTTTAGTAAGGTCTTTACTGTTCATAAACAGGATACCTACCTTTTAATAAGGTCTTTACTGTTCATGAACAGAATACCTACCTTTTAGCAAGGTCTTTACTGTTCATAAACAAGATACCTACCTTTTAGTAAGGTCTTTACTGTTCATAAACAAGATACCTACCTTTTAGTAAGGTTTTTGTTCATAAACAGGAGACCTACCTTTTAGTAAGGTGTTAATGAACAGGATACCTACCTTTTAGTAAGGTCTTTACTGTTCATAAACAGGAGACCTACCTTTTAGTAAGGTGTTAAAGAACAGGATACCTACCTTTTAGTAAGGTCTTTACTGTTCATATAAAAGTCAATCCAAATTGCAACTGTTTCTTTTGATGTTCTAAAATAACATACAGAAAAACAATATTACCCAACACTTTCATATTACTAAACTGAATAATTTGTTCACTCAACAGATTGTAACATTAAACAACATGTAGATACTATTCTGTGTGAGGAAGTTATGTGGTCAAACCATTAAAGTTAGGCCCCACACACAATGGGTATTTACTACTTTGAAAAATATGTGAGGCTCTACATTAGATGCCATCAATGTAACACATGCTTTGCTTATCCTTCCAAACACAAGTTTGGTATTTACTGTTTAAAAACCTGTTTACTTCAATGTAAAAATATTTTAATATAAAACGCAACACAGTGCTACTGATTATTTAGATACCAGCAACATCATAAGCTGAGAAAATCCTAATATAGTAACATAAACAAGTAATATATTCACAATGAGGAAATTGAAGTATAATAATGAAGATGAAGTCAGTTGACAAATCATAAACATTTATTTACATAATTCAAACGTTTTGGAATATATTTATTCCATCTTCAGTGAAATCTGAAAATTATGTTACAAAAATGATTATTAAATAAAACCAAAACATCATTAATCACAGTCTACTTAGTTAAGAAAAGTGGTAAATAGAAGGATAAAACAAAAGATTATAGATATATTGTACAACAGCTGAGTTTTAGTGTGTAAATTTAGAATAATTTTAGATCTGAAGAGCTTTGCGAGTCTTTAAGAGTCAGGCAATCTTTAACTATGAGTAAACTTTCTTTGATGTGAAGTTCAAGGTTCTGAAGATGCTGTAGTAATGACAGAGAAATCATTAAATGAAATATTGTGACCCGTGGTTTCAGAACGTGAACGAATGGATGGGTCTAACTGGTGGATGGTCTACTAGACTAATATACAGACTTAGCCTCCACATTAAAAACTCATTTCAATAAAGATCAACTACCTAAAGTTCATGGCTCGTATATAAATGTACGTTTAGCGACTTTAAGGTCACATATATTGGCTGGGTTTAACTAGTGGATGGTCTACTAGACTAATATACAGACTTAGCCTTCACATTAAAAACTCATTTCAATACAAAGATCAACTACCTAAAGTTCATGGCTTGTATATAAATGTACGTTTAGTGAATGTAAGGTCACATATATTGGCAAAACAAAACGCCACTTGAAAACTGGAGATTGTGAACATTTAGGAGTATCTAACAGAGAGAGAGACAGACAGACACGTTTTGAAAAATACAAATACCTACTCTAACGCTTTTGGATCTTTCAGTTCTGGTTTTTTTAAACTTTCAGCTCGTTGTCTCTTGTGACGCTACAAATAAATACAAAATACAGAGAAACTATACTGTTTAAAAGAGATTTTACAGGGTAAGTAATTCTTCATATTCAACAATGTAATGTCCTTGAAGCCCAAAACACTATCCAAAATTATATTAAACATTTTAAATGCATATATTTTTCACTAGGTGCTAGAAAAATAAACATTAATTATACATACAGTTTTGTTGTACATACATGTGTGGAAAAAAATTCTTAAAAAATACAGACAAATTACCCATAAAATTTTCCTTTGTCAATAATTATGGATCATTTTCTTATTTCACAAACTCACCTCTTTTTTCAGAGACTTTTTTTTAAGAGAAAGTTTGTAGGCAACGTAACGATAATCTTTAGAAATGTGGTTGAGTTTGGCAGTGGCACTAATTAACACAGACAGTAGGAAGGCAATTCCAAACTCCACCCATCCACCAATTCTCTCTAAGATACTTTCTGTATGGAAAGATGTTAGATGTTAGAATAAGGATATGAACTAAAATAACATCAACTATTTACAAATACTTAAATTCACTAAGTAAAAGAATTGCTCCTAATATAATTTTAAAACATTGTGTGTATAAAGAATGAGGTTTGCATCAGTGAAGTTTCTTGAAGGTCTTTAGGTTTATCAAAACTAATATGTCTCCAACTGTTTAGAAGATGTAGCTTCTTGATAAACCATTACTTGACAACTTCTGTTTTATAAGCTTACCTTGTACAGGTTTCTCCATCTCACTAGCACTGTCTGAGTGTACCTGTCCTCTAAAACCAGTGGTACTGATTCGAACATCCTTTGTTAATTCTTGTTCCCTAGCTTCTGGTGATGACAGATGCAAATCAAGTTGGGAAACTGGTTGGGGCTGTTATATAAACATCTGGTTACTATTAATTTTTCAGAACATAACAGTTCTAGATGAAATGACAAGATCACATTCAAAATGTTAAGTATGCAATGGAAATCACTAAAATATTACTTAGACACGCACCTAACAATAAATAATACTTCTTCAATGACATTTAGCAAAGAAAACCAAAAGTATTAACCTAAAGAAGGACATCAGTTGTGTGTTCTGACACAGGGTGTTAAAGTATACGATTATGTTAAAAGAAGACTGGAGATGCTGTACTCTTGACTTAAGCCTCGTGTTGAGGGTTTTGTTAGTCAACAGTCTTAACAGAATATCTGGTCTGAGGATGGCACATGTAAATGTGCTAGACTGTTGGACCAGAATTTTTTCTTATTAATTAATGTAAAACTAAAATTGGTGACCATAAATATATATAATTTGTATATATATATATACAAATTGTCCAACAGACATAATTTCTCTACAGAAGGTTTTCATTATCCCATTTTTAATAAACATTTGTATCAAGTAGAAGTATTATTATTGTTCTTTTGATAAAAAACAAGTTAAGTAAGTTTCATAATTGTTATTATTATTATCATCTTCCTTTTGGTAAAAAGCATGTGCATCAGATTTTAAAATGTTTATTACTGTTCGCATGGTAAGAAATGTGTACCTGGATAAAAAACAAATTCTATCATTTTTGTTTGAAATGCACGTACCAGATTTAAAAAATATTATTACTGTTTCTTTTGTAATAAATTAATAGCTTAGGTTTTAAAATTAGTACTAGTTATTTTGTGAAAACAATTATTTTCCTTTGGTAAGAAATACATGTACCAAGTTATCAAATTTTCACTAATTTTCCTTTAGTAACAAACACATGTGCCAGGTTTTAAACTTGTTATTACTTTCCAAAGTTTAAAGTTGATATCCATGTTCTAAATTCAACCAAATTAAATGACCAGTGTAATAACAGTGACTAATAAAAAAACCAGGGATAGTTTTTTACTCAGAATACCACATTAATATAATTTCTTCCACTGTTAAGATAGTAATCCTCAGTTAATCCCTCAGACCAGGTATTCTGTTAAGATAGTACTCCTCAGTTAATCCCTCAAATCAGACTCTGTTAAAACTGTTGGCTAACAAAACCTTATCAGGGATAGTTTTTTACTCAGAATACCACATTAATATAATTTCTTCCACTTATAGACTTTCAAAAATAAGTAAAAAAAATACACCTGAGAAAATCCTGAAACAGCAGAGGTCCTACCGATGGACTGCTGATCCTCAACATCGCTAGGACTTTCTTTAACTTCTTCCACATCTCGTTCATGATTATTCTTCAAGGTCTGACTTAACAACTACAAGTAAGATATCCATTTTGAGAAGAGTAAAATCATTAAAAAAATAACAGATCTTCCATGATGTGAGAGAGATTTTACTTTAATTAATTATATCTAGTCAGTAATAAGAAGTTTTGTGGAACTTGTGGATTTTCACAAGTCTCTATATTATGTCCACACAGAATTGCCAAGGACATTATGTCAATAATCTCTTTTACTGCATATCATCAGTAATAAATTATTGGTTTTTGAAGGTGGTGGTCAATATTGTATATAACCTTTCTAATTTGCATAATTAGTAGTTAGTGATAAATGGAAGGTGTATCAAGTTAAAGTTTCTTTTAACAGATTATTATGGAAACAGCATTGCTAGACCTATTGAACACTTACAATCAGTATTCAAAAACAAAGCTTTTTTAAGTGTACTTTATTTGTTTTCAACAGAAAAAAAAAACTTAGTGAAATGTTCTTGGTAACCACTGATACCATTTCTCCAATACACTTCTCACCGTCATTGCTGGAAGTAGGCTCTAGTTCTAAATTCCTTTACTCCTACGAAAAACTAGTCCACAATTGGACTGTATCTTGGACTTCCATCAGCAACACCTACATGAAAACATCATCCAAATTTATTCCATTACTTCTATGGAAAACTAGCCCAGGAAATTGGACTGTATCTTGGACTTCCATCATCAACCTACATGAAAACATCATCCCGAATTACATTACTCTTATGAAAAACTAGCCCAGGAAATTGGACTGTATCTTGGACTTCCATCATCAACCTACACGAAAACATCATCCCGAATTACATTACTCCTATGAAAAACTAGCCCAGGAAATTGGACTGTATCTTGGACTTCCATAATCAGCATACAGGAAAATATCAGTCCAGGAAATTGGACTGTATCTTGGAGTTCCATTATCAATATACATGAAAACATCAGTTGAGGGCATGGGCTATATCTAGGGTTGCCATCATCAACATACATAAAAACATCATCCTAGAATTGGACTGCATCTTGTACGTCTATCATCAACCTCCATGAAAACATCAGTCCAGGAAATGAACTGTATCTTGGACTTCCATAATCAGCCTACAGGAAAACATCAGCCCACAAAATGGGTTGTAACTCTGGTTTCAATTATCGTACACAAACATATATCATCCTAAATTCTACCAATAAAACAATAACTGGAAAGAAAGCAGTAAATGTATTAGATGATGAAGAATTTTTCGATATTAAATTTTTGTTTTTCTCAGCAATTTAGGGTTTATTGTTAGACATAATGATAATATATACTGTTACTATAGCAAATAACAGTTGTGTTATACAACAATCTCGGGTGTTTAGTGTCCAGCTTTCTTTCTAATCTTGGGATTTTAGAGTTTAGATTTCAATACCATCTCAGATGTTTAATTTTAAGCTTTCTTTCTAATCTTGGGACTCTGTATAACCATTTGGTTTTTAATGACTTGAGTTTACTGGTATATCATATGTATTTTGTAACACTAAAGACACACAAAGAATTTGTTAGCTGCTGTAGTGAAATTTTAAATTATGCTTATGTAAAAGAGAATTGTATAAAGAAGGTTATGATTCTCAAGGTTGTAGAAAGAAGGTTAAAACAAAATAAAAAGGTTACAAAACGTTGATGATGTGAAGACTATGAGAAAAAGTTACCAGAAGAAGGAAACATTAAAGCTATGAGAATTAGGCTGCAAGAAAAAGAGATATGAAGGTTATAAGAAAAGGTCGTGTGTGGGCTTTATAAGTGAAAAGTTATTAAAATATGATTCAAATATTATATTATATTTAAGAAAAAAGAAAGAATGTTAAAAGCAGATGATGTAAAAAAGTCAGGTTGTTCAAAGAAGATTATGTACATACAGTTGACTCTCAAATATGCAGTGTAATGGAGGTGAAAGGAAACATGGATACCCCAAAACACAGAAAAAAACTTACATATGTATATATTTTTAAAAATAAGCTGAGAAATGGCTTTTATAATACATCTTAAAAACTTATACATAATATACAACACGATAGGCTTTACTAAAATAATCATCTAAAGTCTTCTGTTTTTTTTGTTTGATATACTTTATATTTGCATTGCAGAATACAGCTGCAATAGATTTCACTGTCGAATCTTGTTCTCTCTTTTCAATAATCTGGAGTTTATGTTGTCAATACAGTTTGTTCACATTTTGGTATTTTGTTCTCAATAGACACACAACAGGAAACACTAAAAATGGAAAAAATAAAAGATAATATAATGAAAGAAAAGAAGAACAAAAACAAACTGAGAACAAAATCAATAAGGACTGTAGAGAAAATACTTCAAAGCTACAATGAAACAGAGCAGTTTGTGGGATTCCCTAGATCAGGGCATGGTAAACCATAAACTGAGTAATCAATAAGACAGTTGGATAAAAACTGAACATCTACTGATAACATCACAGACATTATAGTATAAATAGGTTTACACTGACAGCATTCAGGCCTTTCATCTTCACTTCAGGATCCTCATCTTCATCTTTATCAGTTTTAGAAGATAACAGTTCTAAGTCTAAATCTTCATCATTAACATCTTCAAGCATGTAATAGTCTCCAGCTCGGATAGCTAAAGTTCCAACACACAGATGTTACAATGTTGATTATTTCAAACTAAACTACTTTGCAACAAAACTCCAATTACTTTGAAAGTTTGTGAAAAATTTTATAAACTATTGTTACCAAGTTGCATGTGAAAACAACCAACATAGATTTCTACACGAAACATGTATTATTAGTCATAGAGTAAAATGAAAGACAGCAACACACTATTCAAGATCTTGCTTGTTAAAAGTTCTTGAATTGAAAAAGAGCAACAGCAGCTTAAAGACCAGGCTTTATTAAGTGTCCAATTTGATGTCGTCAGTGTTCTGGGGCAAATTTCTCTGAGTACGTACCTTACACAAACATATAATAATTTATAAAAGATAGACGATGGACAGAGCTTTCCAAACATATATAATATGTTGAGTTTGTGTTAAGTTTTACAAGCAAACCAAGGAAATAAACAAAAGTAGCATGTCACCAGCAGAAAAATTTGATTTCAAAGCAATAACAAAAACACAAAAATTGTAAGTATGACTCAAGCTTTTATTGTG